ACTTATCTTTATTTGTTATATAATGTGTCTCGTGGTATTAAGAAGGGAAATAAAATAAAATGAAACTATTAAGTAGGAAAAATAGTAAAAGGATATAAAAATGGAAGCATTTGTAGTAAAGAAGAGTTTCTGTGTGAAGATTAAGAGGGCTATAAAGAAAAGCAGAAATGCTAAGCAAGTTATAAAGGTCTGAGTCAGTTGCAGAAATGTAAAAGATGACACTTGGAGACAATGTATATGATCTTAAATTTAAGGCCAATGTTGAATACAGGAAAGTGTAACCAAAGGCTAAAATAATTGATATTTTTAACAGTCCAAGTGATTACATTCCCCCAGATGTTAGACTTAAATTCATAGAGATGTAGTTTAGATAACTATTTCTCCCTAATAATTTGCTTCTTCATAAGGAAAATGCTGCCCAGATATAAGACATTGTGATCTTGGCTCAGTTCAACACTTCAGCACCTACCTGAAGCTGAGAAAAGCAGCCCCTCTATTATTTTGATGTAAAAATCAAATCACTGGTGGGAGAAAACAAAGATGGTGGCAGCTGCCTCAGAGCTCTGAGGAATCTGAGAGACCCTTCGAGACTCCCAGGGGTGATCCAGAGGCAGAAAAGGAGTCTGCAGGACCCACAATAGCTTCAACTATGGGGGTGAGGAGTGGGTGAAGCCTTATGAGTAGATGCTTTTAAAAAGTGGACTTTAAAAATTGCAAGGAAAGATGGCAGAGTTGCATGCTGCAGAGAATGACAAATTCCCTTTGCTCCCAAATCTCAGGCATAGGGTTGCAAGTACAAATGTCTTGTCTGATGAGCTGTGGGGCTTCTGGCATCAATGACAGGGAGATGTGCTGAGGCCTAGAGCTCCTGCAGAAACAGGTCATAACTGAATAGGGCTGGTCATAGGCTTGCCAGCCAGAAACCAGCATGGAGCCAGGGAGGATATAGCATGTGCTACTTACCCTGCTAGGAGATAGAGTGTTCGGCAGCACTGTCCACGGGCTACAAGCACAAAAGTCAAGGTCTGGGAGGCTCAAGACAGCAGACATCAAGGACAGGGAGGTGTTCAGAGACCAGGAGTTCTCACAGAACCTTCCCCCAAGACACCTTGTCTAGCCACATCACCCAGACTCTGGGCAACAAGCAACATATCCTAGATGAATCTCAGCAACAGTATTTATGGTGCTTCAGAGGTCAGAGACCTTGAACCAGACCAATGACTCATTGCAATGAATATTTGTATATAAAGCTGTTTGGACAATACACACACACACACACACACACACACACACACACACACACACACACACACACACACACACTGGAGTTTCCAATGCCACTACAACATACAAATATTCAATGAAGAGGTGGGAAAGATGGAGGAGTAGAGCAGTGAGTGCATGAATCGGAGAAGCCAAATTAGGAACATGATGGTAAGGACTGGTATGGGAGAAGGCTGTGGCACACAGATGAATTTGTCAATGCTGAGTAGAGCCAACAGGTGGCAGCCTGTGGAGCTGGCACAAAACTGGCATGAACACAACTGCCCATCCACATGATCTTCCTGGTTTTGAAAAACAGCAAGATGGATTTCCGGGACTGGACCTCCTCAAAAAACCTCTACGGTCTGTGCTGCCCCTAGAGGCCACTTTGGTATCCGTGGTCCACTGCCCCAGGCTGTGTTGAAGCCCAAGAGTCATGTAGATATCCATGGTCCTATGGCAGCCTGAAGTCATGCTGATGTCTCTGGCACAAGTAACCATCAAAGGCCATGGGTGATCTGGGCTGCCACTTGAAGCCATGTTCATGTCTATAATCTGAGCTGCCTTCAAAGGCCATGTCTGGGTCTGTGGTCCTACTGTAGCCAGAGGCTGTGTTCATGTCCACAGCCTATGTTACCACCCAAGGCCATGTGAATGTCTGTGCTGTAGCCTGAAGTCATGTTGATGGTCATATGTTGTACTACCACCAAGGGCCATGTTAATATGAGTGATCTGTGTTACCACCTGAGGCAATGTTAATGTCCTTAGCCTATGCTACCACCGAGGATAGCCCTTGATGGTATCTGTAGCCCATGCAGGGACAGAAAGCAGTGTTGATGTCTGTGGTCTCCTACCAGAAACCATGTGAATGTCTGTGGTCCTAGCCCATGCAGGGACAGAAAGCAGTGTTGATGTCTGTGGTCTCCTACCAGAAACCATGTGAATGTCTGTGGTCCATGCTGTCATTAGAAAACCTGTGTAAGTACATGATCCATGCTCCTGCTGAATGTAAAGGGTGAGGAAGCTACTTCTGCCATGGTATTGATGACTGCAGACTCAGAACTGAGAAAGAGGTACATGGAAGGCTTCTGTAACAACCCCTATGCCAACCCTCAAAAAACTAACAACCTAGGCAGAAAGTCATTGAAGAAACTCTTTTTTATTTTTATTTTTAAATTTAAATTTAAATTAGAAATAAGGTTGCTTTGAAAGACCCCAGAGGAGTGCTTTCTCTTCAGGGAGACCCTTCCCAAGGATCAGCCGAGACCACGGATTGGATGCAAACTGCAAGAGGCTTTATTGCTCACACACGGGTACCCGGGCGTCTTGGTCTCTCGGGAACCAAGCGCGCCGAGCAAGAAAACGGGGCCCTTTTTATAGCAACAAGCGCGGTACAGAAGCGAGGTGCACGGTTACAGAGTCCCTATTGGTTAGTTTAAATGAGGCGAGGGGTGAGCTTTAGAACAGCCGACTCGGGTACAAGGAAGTCAGATAAGGCTGACTAGGCTCAATCTAGGATACAAAGTGGTCGGGACATTCTCGGAGCTACCCGCCCTCATCCCCAGGTGGTCAACCATAGATATCCTGTTTGGTAATTACTCTGGCACCAGGGCCCCTGACCTGAATCCGAACTCCCTCAGCACCAGGTGGCCAACTACAGATATCCTGTTTGGTAATCACTCTGGCGCCAGGGCCCTTAGCCTGAATCTGAACTCATGGTTACTTTTTAGACAGATGTTTCTTGCAGTTGGGGTCTTTCATTCCCCCATTTCTTTTGAGACTGAATGGAATCTTTCATTCATAGGAATTAACTATTTCAGGGTCCAGCTGTTTGAGCTGTTGGTACTGCTGTGTCAGGACCATAGCATGAATCACCGAAAACCTGTCTTTTACAAACTGGATTAAGCGATTGAGGATGTAGGGGCCCAAAATTAAAATAATAAGGAGGACCAATAAGGGTCCTGTAATGGCAGATAGAAGAGTCGTGGACCAAGGGGACTTGTTAAACCATCCTTCAAACCAGCCCTGCTGAGCGTCTAGGACTCTCTGCCTCTGGTCTAATCTCTGTCTCAATTTTGCCATGTTGTCTCTTACGACCCCAGTATGGTCGGTGTAGAAGCAGCACTCTTCTTTTAAGGGAACACATAACCCTCCTTCCTTGAGAAAAAGCAGGTCTAAACCCCTTCTATTTTGTAACACTACCTCGGAGAGAGATTTGAGTGATTTTTCGAGGGCCGTGACTGATTCTTCAAGAATCCTTATATCCGACTGCATGGCCGTTTGCAGTTGGTGGTACTGGGTGGTTTCTGAGAGAGCCTTGGCCCCGGTGCCTATACCGGCAGCTATTCCCCCGATCCCCAGCAATAGGGCCAGTGTTACTGACACCTGCTCCCTCTTAATCCGTATCTGTGGCCTGTCCTCAAACTGACTAACAAAATACTCGGAGGTGTGGTACGTAATCCTAGGCCATAGCTGGATCAGGACACAATAATCTTGGGACATGTTCATAACGGTGGCGGAAACACAGGGGGTGAGGCCAGTACTGCAAGCCCAATAGGTGCCATTGGGGGCGGACAGATAGTACGTCCCCGGTTCAAGGGTTCGGGTGGAATTGCAGAGGGGGGTGTGAGAGGCAGGGACCTTCCCGATGCATGTACCTTGTCCTGATACCTCAGTGAGGGTCAATTGGTGTGAGGACCCTGAGGCACATGAGGATGGTGGTGAGGTATGATTAGAATAGTTTCCCACCACCGCAGTGCCCTCATAATAAGGGGGGCTTGACACTAAGCAGAGCCAGCAATCTTGGGTTCTGTCGGGCTGTGTCTCGTTTAGGGCTAGGTAGGCTCCCTGGATTAAGTCTACAAGCCGGTCCCCAGTGCCAGAGGTAGCAGGTTCTGTGGAGTTAGGGGAGGGCAGGCCTGTGCTACCCACGAAGGGGGGGGTCGGCTGTGGGGCAGATTGGTCAGAGGGGTGTCTCTGGTCAGTCAGCACTGGATTCGGTCCAATAGGTACCGGATTGGTTTGGACGCTCAAGCGGATCTTAAAGTTTAAGCCCTTGTCTTTTCCATCCATGTACCACCTTAGTCCCCAAGTCCTTCCCGTCAGCCATTGGGTATAGTCCGTTTTACCCTTTTGAGTGAAAATGATCTTCAGGGGAAGACAGGTGGCTGTGTCGCAGGACCAGGAGCCCCATTTCCCGTCCTTCCCGTCACTGCAGCCAAATGCTCCTAAGGGGGGGCGTGAAAAATTGCGGCTCACCGTGATCCAGTCCCATGAGGAACTGGGTTTCCAATAGGCATCCCCTGTGGTCTCGCAACCCCATGAGGCGCAGAAATATGCCTCATACCCTCCACATTTTAAGGCTTTAGATTGTCCTTCCTGGGGGCAGACATAGAAATCCAGTTGTGCCAGGTGACACCTGGCTCTCGGGCTGCTACAACCTATTGGCCAGGTCGGGGTCCCAAGCCCATATAGATTCATTTCCACCGCTGTTAAAGGAGTGGACATGTATTTTTGGAGCTCATTGGCACCGTACGTGGAGATGTCCCAGGTATCCAGTCCCGCGGCCAGCTGGCAAAAATCGGGAGTGAGAGCCGGCCACCAGGTACCAGGCGTGTGATAGCCCGAAAGTGACCAGACAACCTCCCCCTGGGAGAGCACTTGCCAGGTTAATTGCTGGGGGGTGTGAGGACTTCCCTCGATAGGGGAAAGGGAAAGCATCAAGCATAAGGAGGCGATCAAACAACTCGGGAGAGTCTTATCTTTAGAGGATTTTGAGTGTGTTGGGCCTTCCATATCGGTTGTGAGTCTCCAGGCTGGGCTGGCTTCACGTGACTGGCGTGGATCCAGGCAGCAATCCCGTCCACCTTGACCGCGGTTGGGGTTGTGAGCAAGACCAAATAGGGCCCTTTCCAGCGGGGCTCCAGGTTCTTAGCCTGACGTCGTCTAACCCAAACAGCGTCTCCTATCTGATACTGGTGAGGCACGAGTGGGTGGTCCCTCTGGTCTCGATACGCCTGGGCGAGGGGTCTCCACACTTCCCGCTGGACCAGTTGGAGGGCCTGCAGGTGGGCTTGTAAAGAAGGAGTGGTGGCATAGTCAGAAACATCTGGGCTGAGGAAATGGACAATGGGCACCGGGACCCCGAACAAGACCTCAAACGGGGTCAGCCCATGGGGGCCCGGCGTGTTCCTGGCCCTATACAGGGCGAGTGGTAGTAAGAGGACCCAGTCTTTAGTGCCAGTTGCAAGCGTTAATTTGGTCAAAGTCTCCTTGATCGTTCTATTCATCCTCTCTACCTGTCCTGAACTTTGGGGTCTATAGGCACAATGTAATTTCCAATCAATCCCCAATAAGGTGGCCACAGACTGACTTACCTGGGAGACGAAAGCAGGACCGTTATCTGCCCCTATTACCTGTGGCATCCCGTATCGGGGAAAGATCTCCTCCAGCAGCTTTTTAGCCACCACGGCGGCGGTCTCATGCTTCGTAGGGAACGCTTCTGGCCACCCTGAAAATGTATCTATGAAGACCAGTAGGTATTTATATCCATACTTCCCGGGTTTTATCTCGGTGAAGTCCACTTCCCAGTGGGTGCCGGGACGATGACCCCGGGTTCTCGTTCCGGGAGACAATTTGATTTTGGAGGCATTAACTCGGGCACATGCATCACAGCGCTCGGTGATCTCCTTAAGGATTTTGTCCTCCCGCTCCAACAGTTTCTTCATCTTCTGATAACTGAGGTGGGTGAACCGATGCAAGTGGGAGATTAAGTAGCGGCCTTCCTTTACGGGTATCACTACCTTCCCTTGGTGAGTCCATCTCCCAGTCTCGGGGTCTTCCTGAGCTCCCATTTCACGTAGGCTGTGGATCTCCTCTTCTGTGTATGTCCAGCTGGGGTTTTCATGGTTATGGCCCGGTGTAGAGCATGTCATCAATTCTTTAGCTTGTTCCCCCTTGTTAGCTGCCGCCTTGGCGGCCCAATCAGCCATCCTATTGCCCCTAGCGACCAGCGAGTCCCCTTTTTGATGTCCAGGGCAATGGACAATGCTAAGGGCCTGCGGCAAGTGTATGGCCTGCAATAGGGCCAATATTTCGGCTTTGTTTTTAATGTCTTTACCCTCCGAGGTAAGTAAGCCCCTCCTCCTGTAAATTTCCCTGTGGATGTGAGCAGTGGCGAAGGCATACCTGCTGTCAGTGTACACAGTGAGTCTCTTTCCTTTGGCCAATTGTAAGGCTTGTGTTAGGGCTATGAGTTCAGCCTTTTGAGCGGAGATTCCTGCTGGCAGGGCTTGGGACCATACCACCTGGTCTTCCGTAGTCACTGCGGCTCCTGCTCGGCGTTCCCCGTTCTCCAGGAAACTGCTTCCGTCGGTGAACCATACATGGTCAGGATCAGGGAGCGGTAGGTCTGACAGGTCTGGACGGGTCCCATGGACCTCGGCCAAGATCTGCAGGCAGTCATGAGGTTCATGTGCATCCAGGAGGGGCAGGAGGGTAGCGGGGTTTAAAGCTACCGGAGCTCCGTACCGGATCTGATCAGAGTCCAATAACAGGGTTTGGTAGTGGGTCATCCTGACATTGGTGAGCCACCTGTCCGGGGGCTGCCGGATTATGGCCTCTACAGCATGCGGGGCCAGGATAGTGAGCGGCTGCCCCATGGTCAATTTGCTGGAGTCCTTGACCAAGACGGCTATCGCCGCTACCATGCGGAGGCATGGTGGCCACTCTGCAGCAACCGGGTCAAGTTTTTTTGGATAGGTAGGCTACTGGTCTCCTCCATGGTCCTAGTCTTTGAGTCAATACTCCCTTCGCAAAGCCCTGTTTCTCGTCCACATACAGTTCGAAGGGCCTGAGCAGATCGGGTAGTCCCAGTGCTGGGGAGCTCAAAAGGGCCTGTTTGATATCTGCAAAGGCTTGTTGTTGATCCTTTCCCCATTTAAACGGTACCCCCGTTCGGGTTAAGGGGTACAGGAGGGCAGCTAGTTCAGCAAACCCTGGGATCCAGAGACGACAAAAGCCCGCGGTTCCCAGGAATTCCCTTAATTGCCTGGGGGTCCTGGGAGCGGGGATGCTCAAAATAGTCTGTTTCTGGGCCTCAGTTAGCCATCTCTGTCCCTGTTTTATTTCATAGCCCAGGTAGGTTACCTGTTCCCTGCAGAGTTGGGCCTTCTTGGCCGAGGCTCGGTATCCCATGCTCCCCAGTGCCTGAAGCAGGGCTCCCGTCCCATGGCGGCAATCTTCCTTTGAAGTAGCTGCCAAGAGGAGATCATCCACATATTGGAGCAGGACCAGGGAGGGGTGCTGGATGCGGAAGTCAGCCAAGTCGCGGTGCAGGGCCTCGTCAAAGAGTGTGGGGCTGTTCTTGAATCCTTGTGGGAGCCGCGTCCATGTTAGCTGTCCCGAAATCCCCCCGGGCTGGGTCTTTCCATTCAAAGGCGAACAGTAATTGGCTGGTGGGGTGGAGTCTCAAGCAGAAGAAAGCGTCTTTGAGATCCAGGACTGTATACCAAGTATGGGTGGGCGGCAACCCACTAAGGAGGTTATAGGGATTTGGCACTGTAGGGTGTAGATCCTCGACCCTTTTATTAACCTCCCGGAGGTCTTGGACCCGCCGGTAGTCTCCTGTTTCCGGCTTCTTAACTGGCAATAAGGGGGTGTTCCACGGAGATTTACAGGGGACCAGGATCCCTTGTTCTAAGAGTCTATTAATGTGGGGCGTGATGCCCTCCCTAGCTTCCTTAGACATTGGATATTGCTTGATGGCAACCGGCAGGGCGCTTGCTTTTAAGGAGATGATTATGGGGGGCTGGTTATCAGCAAGGCCCATTCCCCCCGGTTTCCGCCCATGCCTGAGGATAGCGTTGCAACCAGGTTTCCAAGTCCGAAGGGGCATTTTTAGCTTGCTCATGTAACCTATATTCATCCTCTATGGACAGAGTCATCACGTGTAAAGGCCGCCCCGCCGAATCAGTCACACTAATTCCAGCCTTTTCAAAATGTATCTGAGCCTTTAGTTTGGTTAAGAGATCTCTCCCTAGCAGGGGATAGGGGCAATCCGGAACGTGGAGGAAGGAGTGAGTTACCTTACCGGTGGCCAACTGCACCTGTCGGTTGGTAGTCCAGTGGTAACTCTTTCCTCCTGTGGCTCCTTGGACCCAGGCTGTGCGGCTACTCAGCGTCCCGGGGGATCTTGTCAGGACGGAGTGTTGTGCCCCTGTATCTACTAGGAAGGTTACTGGTTGCCCCCCTACTTGTAGGGTTAACCTTGGCTCAGGGGGGGCTCCTGGCCTCGACCCCCCCTAATCCTCTAAATTTAGGAGAGATACCGGGGGTTGGGGTTTGGCGTGCCGGTTTCGATTTTGCTTTCTCGGGCATTCACGCGCCCAATGTCCTTTTTCCTTGCAATAGGTGCATTGATCCTTCTCCAGTCTAGGTCCTCTTCGTTCTCCCCCCTGTCTATCCTGCCTTGGTCTTTGTCCTGACACTACTGTGGCCATCAGCCTTGTCAGTTCCCTATGCCGCTTCCTGACCCTCGTATTTTCTCTCTCTTCCATCTCCTTCTGACGTCTTTCCTCCCTTTCCATGTTTTCCCTTCTCCAGCGCTCCTCTCTTTCCTCTGGACTTTCTCTCTTATTGAAAACTTTCTCTGCCTCTTTTAACAAATCTGACACTGTCTGTCCTTGTAAATTATCCAGTCGCTGCAATTTATTTCGGATGTCCAGAGCCGACTGCCAAATGAAGGCCATGGCGAGGCCCGTAGCCTGTCCCGGATCCTCGGGATTGTACGGGGTATACATACGATAGGCCTCTTTCAACCGTTCGAGAAAGGCTGCCGGTGTCTCCTCTGATTTCTGCAACACCTGCTTTACCTGGGCCAAAGTAGTGGGGCGCCTAGCGGCCCCCCGGAGACCCGCTATAAGCAACTGGCGATAAAGACGCAGATGGGTCCTACCTGCATCGGTGGTGAAGTCCCAATTGGGTCTAGTCAAGGGAAAAGCAGCGTCAATCTCGTTAGGGAGTTGGGTCAGCTGGCCATCTGCTCCCCTCACATTCTTACGAGCCTCGAGGAGGACTTGCTGCTTCTCTTCAGTGGTGAGGAGTACCTGCAGGAGCTGCTGGCAATCATCCCAAGTGGGCTGATGTGTCACCAAAACTGATTCTAAAAGAGAGGTTAACTGTGAGGGGTCCTTAGAAAAAGGAGGATTGTTATTTTTCCAGTTATACAGATCGGAAGCAGAGAATGGCCAGTACTGGGGTTGGCCGTCTGGCCCTGTCCGCAGTGGCAGGGCGGTGGAATCGGCGGGGGCTTGTTCTCTTCTTCCTCTCAGGCGGCCGGCGACGGGTGACGAAGCGGTCCTCTCGGGAGGTCGAGCCGCCGCCGGTTGCCTGGCTGGCTCGGCTTCCGCCTCGTCCGCTCGTTGTCCCGCCGCTAGTGGTGCCTCCTGGTATGGAGGTGGACCCTCCGCCAGAAGGTCCATAAGCAGGTCATCTCCATCTGGAAGAACTTTCGGTTTAGACTTCTCGGGTGAGGGGCGCACGAGGGCAGGGTACAGATTGGAGCGGGAAGCGGCAGGGGTCGGGAGTGGGTTTAAGGGAGGGGGAAGAGAAGGTACGGACGGTTTAGGGGGTCGGGAGTGGGAGGAGAAAAGGGGGGTCATTCCGGGGAGGAATGGCTTGACCCATGCTGGTGGTTTCTGGACTAAAGCCTCCCAGGTGATGATGTAATCCACCTGGTCAGGGTGTCCGTGTGGTCCAGGATCCATGATTTTTCCTTTTACAAGACTAATAATGTTAGGACTGAAGGTGCCATCTCGTGGCCATCCGACATCAAGGGTGGGCCATTCGGAGGCGCAGAAGGTGACCCATTTTCTCTTATGCATATCGGCCGATTGATTATGTGCGTATTCCTGTACTTTCTTCCAATGATCCAAGGTTAGAGAAAGAGGGTGGTAACCGACTGTCCCATTTTTTCTAAACTAAGAACAACACAAACTCCTACCACGAATAGAAAACACAGAGACAGACAACAAATTTTCGCAGCGCGGCTTCGGCGAAAAACCGAAAGTGATCTTTCTGAAGGGAGAGGGGTCCTCCTCTCGCCTTCCCAGAGCAGGACAAAAAATCCTTCTCCCTGAGGGGAGCTCCCGAACAGGGCGGGAAACTGCCCAAACATAAACCTGCGATGTCAGTCGTGGAATCTGTCACCGCGCAGTATCCCCTGGGACGTCTCCCAGGGCCACGGCCAGGAGTTCTGAACCCGTCGGTTCTTCCTCGGTGTGCCAGCAACCAATGTAGACAGCTGAGTACTACAGACGCGGGCGCAAACACAACGTAGAACAACAACAGACATACAGTGGATCCACACAAGGCTTACCTCCCAACGGTGGGTCGGTGGTCCCTGGGTGGGGGTCTCTAATCCCGGACGAGCCCCCAAATGAAAGACCCCAGAGGAGTGCTTTCTCTTCAGGGAGACCCTTCCCAAGGATCAGCTGAGACCACGGATTTCTTGCAGTTGGGGTCTTTCAGCTTCACATGTCAATCCCAGGTCCCTCTCCCTTTCCCTCCCCTCCTCCCAGCCCTCCCACCAACACCCCCCCCAACAACCCCTAGTTTCCCCAGGGAGGGTGAGGCCCTCCGTGGAGGTGTCCATAGTCTGTCATTTCATCCAGGGCAGGGCCTAGACCCTCCCCGCAAGAGTCCAGGCTGAGAGTCCATCTCTCATTGTTGGATGAGCACCCAAAGTCCATTTGTATGTCAGGGATAAATACTGATCTACTACCCAAGTCCCAATAGATTGCCTAGGCCTCCTCACTAACACCCACATTCAGGGGGGTCTTAATCAGTCCCATGTTGAATTCCTAGCGATGTCTGGAATTCAAGAGCTAACCCTTGTTAGGTCAGCTGTTTCTGGTTGTTAAATCAACCCAGTCTTAACCCCTTTGCTCATCAGTCCTCCCTCTCTGTCACTGGATTCCTTGAGTTCAACTCAGTGTTTAGCTGTGGGAGTCTGCCTCTGCTTCCATCAGTCATTGAATGAAGGTTCTGTTTCCCAGACTCTCTGTCCATGGGATTGTAGGCTAGCACTCCCCAGATCTATGTCTAAAATCCATATATGAAAGAGTACATACCATGTCTGTCTTTTTGTGACTGGGTTACCTTACTCAGGATGGTTTCTTCTAGTGCCATCCATTTGCCTGCAAATTTCAGGATTCCATTGTTTTTTCTGCTGAACAGTACTACATTGTGTAAATGTACCACATTTTCTCTATCCACTCTTCAGGTAAGGGGCATCTAGGTTGCTTCCAAGTTCTGGCTATTACAAATAATGCTGCTATGAACACAGTGGAACAGATGTCCTTGTTGTATGAATGTGCATCTTTTGGATATATGCCTAAGAGTGGAATTGGTGGGTCTTGTGGTAGGCTTATTCCCATTTTTCTGAGGAATCTCCATACTAATTTCCAAAGTGGCTGTACAAGTTGGCACTCCCACCAGCAGTGGAGGAGTGTTCCCCTTTTACCACATCCTCTCCAGCATAAGCTGTCACTGGTGTTTTTTGTTTTAATTTATTTAAGCCATTCTGACAGGAGTAAGATGGTATCTAAGAGTAGTTTTGATTTGCATTTCCTGGATAGCTAGGGATGTTGAGCACTTTCTCAAGTGCCTCTCAGCCATTTTAGACTCCTCTATTGAAAATTCTCTATTTAGTTCTGTAGCCCACTTTTTAATTGGGTCCTTTGGTGTTTTGGAGACTTGCTTCTTGAGTTCTTTGTAAATTTTGGAGATCAGCCCTCTGTCAGATGTGGGCTTAGCCATTCTGTGGGCTGCCTTTTTGTCTTGTTGACTGTGTCCTTGGCCTTACAGAAGCTTCTGAGTTTCAGGAGGTCCCATGTATTAATTGTTGACCTCACTGTCTGTGCTACTGGTGTTATGTTCAGGAAGCAGTCTCCTGTACCAATTAGTTCAAGGGTACCACCATCTTTCTCTTCTAAGTATTTCAGTGTGGCTGTATTTATGTTGAGGTCTTTGATCCATTTGGACTTAAATTTTGTGCATAGCAATAGACATGGATTGATCCGCATTCTTCTACATGCCAGCATCCAGTTATGCCAGCACCATTTGTTGAAGAAGCTTTTTTTTCCATTGCATATTTTTAGCTTCTTTATTGAACATCAGATGTTCATACATGTATGGGTTAATATCAGAGTGTTCAGTTCAATTCCATTGGTCTACCTGTCTATTTTTGTGTTGATACCAAGCTGTTTTCAGAACTACAGCTCTATAATAGGGCTTGAAGACAGGGATAGCGATGCCTCTAGATGTTGCTTTGTTGAATAAGGTTGTTTTAGCTATCCTGGGTCTTTTGTTTTTCCATACAAGATTCATTATTGTTCTTTCAAGGTCTGTGAAGAATTGTGCTGGTATTTTAATGGGGGATTGCATTGAATCTGTAGATTGCTTTTGGCAGGATTGACATTTTTACTACATTGATCCTATCTATCCAAGAGCATGGGAGATCTTTCCATTTTCCGGTGTCTTCTTTAATTTCTTTAAAGACTCAAGTTCTTGCGATAGAGGTCTTTCACTTATTTAGTTAATGTTACCCCATGGTATTTTATGTTGTTTGTGGCTATTGTAAAGGATGATGTTTCTCTGATTTCTTTCTCAGCCATTTTATTGTCTGTATATAGTAGGGCTACTGATTTTTCTTGAGTTGATCTTGTATCCTGCCACATTGTTGAAAGTGTTTATCAGCTGTAAGAGTTCCCTGGTAGAGGTTTTTGGATCACTTACGTAAACTGTCATATCATCTGCAAATAGTGAAAATTTGACCTCTTCCTTTACAATTTGAATCACCTTTATCTCCTTTTGTTGTCGTATTGCTCTAGCTAGAATTTCAAGTACAATACTGAAAAGGTATTGAGAGAGTGGCAGCCTTGTCTTGTTCCTGATTTTAGCAGAATCACGTTGAGTTTCTGTCCATTTAGTTTGATGTTGGCTGTTGGTTTGCTGTATATAGTTTTTATTATGTTTAGGTATGTTCCTGTTATCCCTGATCTCTCCAAGGCATTTATCATGAAGAGCTGTTGGATTTTGTCAAAGACATTTTCTGCATTCAGTGAAATGATCATGTGATTTTTGTTTCTATGGTGGATTACACTGATGGATTTTCATATGTTGAAGCATCCCTGCATCCCTGGGATGAAGCCTACTTGATCGTGGTGAATGATTGTTTTGATGTGTCCTTGGATCCGATTTGCCAGTATTTTATTGAGTATTTTTGCATCAATGTTCATGAGGGATATTGGTCTGAAGTTCTCTTTCTTAGTTGTGTCTTTGTGTGGCTTGGGAATCAAGGCTACTAAAGTTTCATACAAAGAGTTTGGCAAAGCCCCTTCTGCTTCTATTGCATAGAATACTTTGAGAAGAATCGGTATAAGCTGTTCTTTGAATTTCTGGTAGAATTCTGCACTGAGGCCATCTGGACCTGGGCTTTTTTTTTTTTTTTTTGGTTGGGACTTTTGATGACTGCGTCTATTTCCATACGGGTTATAGGTCAATTTAAATTGCTTATGTTTTTGATTTAATTTTGGCAAGTGATAGCTATCAAGAAAATTGCTCATTTCCTTTAAATTTTCGAATTTTGTGGAGTACAGGTTTTCAAAGTATGACCTGATGATTCTCTGAATTTCCTCAGAGTCCGTTGTTATGTCCCCTTTTTCGTTTCTGATTTTGTTAATTTGCATGTTCACACTCTGCCATTTGGTGAGTTTGGACAAAGGTTTGTCTATCTTGTTGATTTTCTCAAAGAACCAACTCTTCATTGCATTGATTCTTTGTATTGTTTTCCTAGTTTCTACTTTATTGATTTCAGCCCTCAGTTTGATTATTTCCTGGTGTGTACTCCTCCAGGGTGAGTTTGCTTCTTTTTGTTCTAGAGATTTCAGCTGTGCTGTTAATTCTCTAGTGTAACTTTTCTCCAGTTTCTTCATATGGGCACTTAGATCTATGAACTTCCCTCATAGCACTGCTTTCAAAGTGTCACATAGGTTTGGGTATGTTGTATCTTCATTCTCATTGAATTCTAGGAAGTCTTTAAATTTCTTTTTTTTTCTTTGACACAGGAATGGTGCAATTGTGCATTATTCAATTTCCATGAATTTGTAGAGTTTCTGCAATTTGTGTTGTTGTTGGATTCTAATTTTAACACATGGTGGTCTTATAAGATGCATGGAGCTATTCCAATTTTTTGTACCTGTTGAGGTTTGATATGTTGCCAAGTATGTGGTCAGTTTTTGAGAAGGTTCCATGTGGTGCTGAGAAGAAGGTATATTCTATTTTATTTTGATGGAATGTTCTATAGATGTCTGTTAATCCCAATTGTGTCATAGCTTCTATTAGCCCCTTTGCTTCTTTGTTAAGATTCTGTCTGGTATTCCTGTCGAGTGGTGAGAGTGGGGTGTTGAAGTCTCCCACTATAAGTGTGTGGGGCTTTGTGATTTGAGTTTTAGTAATGTTTCTTTTACGAACGTGGATCCCTTTGTATTTGGGGCATAGATGTTCAGAGTTAAAACTTCATCTTGGTGGATTTTTCCTGTGAGTATAAAATGACCTCCTTCATCTCTTTTGACTGATTTTATTTTAAAGTCTAATTTGTTAGATATTAGGATTGCTACCCCCTGCTTGTTTCTTGGGGCCATTTGATTGGAAAATCTTTTCCCAACTTTAACTCTGAGGTAATGTCTGTCTTTGAGGCTGAGGTGTGTTTCTTGTATGCAGCAGAAGAATGGGTTCTGTCTTCGAATCCATTCTGTTAGCCTGTGTCTTTTTATGGGTGAGTTAAGGCCATTAATATTGAGGGATATTAATGGCCATTGTTTGGTCATTCTTCTTTTATTTGGAATGGTTGGTGTTGGTGGAATTATGTGTGGAATCCCACCCCTTTTTCCTTTTGGCTGTTGGTAAAATAGGGATT